TTCAACTTGGTCTATAACAATTTATCTTAAATGACTCAAAGTAACCATGACATTCTTTCTATGAGCAGTATAGCTAAACATAATTTAAACTATAAAGGAAAAGTCTAATACATGTTACGCGTTCTAATATTCTATCTGCTTGTAAAAAGCTGACATCCGTATAATCAACATAATTTAAACCTATGAAAGGCATAATTTAATCTTAGATAACTTCAGTTTACATTTTGTGTTTCAGAAATGGCACTGCTAGGTTCAGACCTAACCATCTTGGTTTGGTCACCTGTAAAATATAACCTGAGCAACAAGAATTGCACTTCTAGAGGTAGTAAAAGAAAACCTCAAATTTTTAGTTCTAAGAGGTAAAAAAATAAACTATGTAAGGTATTAAAAGAAGTTCAGTTCTTTCCGCTTTAATTTTGATGTTCTCGCGGAACTTATCAGTAAGAGAAACTATTACACTTACAACTGATTTAGTCAAAAAAGACTTTAAAAGATGTACAGATTTCTAACACAGCATATAGGTTTTTTAATACTTTTAAGAAGTTGTTTAAAAATGAATACAAGTTTTGTAAAAGAGATAGATATTCTCATGCTGCTCCAAGAACCAAAACTTTAAGGCACTTGGCATATTAGAAGCGGAAAAAAAAAAAACACCTTAACATAATTCTTTGTGCAAAGTAATTCCAAAGAAGAAGGAAACAAGGGCTATGTCTTCAATAATCTAAAACGTCATTAGAAAGACACAGGAAGAGATTTATTAAGATAGGCTTTTTATTGTTCAGGTGCAAATCATAAAACTCTCACAACAGTAAGAGCCAATTGACAAGGGGAGGGAGGGAGGGTCATTATTATCAAAAATCACCTTATTACGATCTTAAGTAGATGCATTACAGATGATGACTTCTTTAAATAAATCAAGACAAAAGAAACTTAACACAGAAGGAAAACAACCTTCAGGTTTTTTTTGCACCATTACACATAGTATCTGCTCAACTTTAGAAACCTAGATCAACTACTAGAAACAGTTACAAGTTACAGAGCATTTTGTTAACGGAAAAGAAAACAAAATTAAAGATAACCCACCCAAGTGTGGTGTTTTCAATTAAGCAAATTTCCCCATTACACATCCACTAAATTTAACGGGAATTTTACTTAAGAATTTCAGGATTACACACAAAGGATAATATCTTAACCCCACCAAAACAGAGACCAAACTCCCATTTGACTTCAATAGAACCAAGATCAACTATAAAAAGTTACATCATTACTGCGTGTATCTGTCATAAATATATACTCGAATAAATAATTTACACTATATGAGAAAAATGAATGTAAATCTCTCCATAAATAACGAAAAACATACATTTCATATGTTTTTAAGCAAAAAAGCGGTCATAATTTAAGAACAAAAGCTAACTATCAGCAAGTAACAAGTTTTAACCAACCAGTAACAGTATTATTTTATTTACACATCAGATGAAGGCAAGTGTTTCTCCACTTCTTAAATATTTGCACACTTTCAGAATACAGTAAAACTAAACGAACCAATCATTGCAAGCATCCTTTTAATTCTTCTGTTTTGACAGCAGCTGCGGATGCATCCACTTGCTCTTGCCACGACAGGATAACATGGACAGATTTCCAAAAGCACAGCACTCCCTACAGCAGAGGCAAGTTACTGATAGCAGACAGACACACCACACGTGCGAACCAACCACCTTTAAAAGATACAGATAATTTCCCTTAAAACACTTATCCACACGAAAACACATCTACTACTACAGACCTTCAGGAAGAATTCAAACTGGTGGGTTTTTTACACTTATTTTACACAAATTGAAATACTACTTTACTGAGAACGTAATTACAAATAGCTTGTTTGTACACCCTGTATCTCTGAGATACTCCTGTTCTAAACATTAGATATATGTGGATTCTCCACTGTTTTAAAATTTCTAGAAACCTCTCTTGGTTTTTGAAGAAGTAAAGCTTCTCGCTTTGCTAATAGAGTTCAAAACAACATTTGAAACGTGCAAACAACTAAGTAAACAACGCTGATTATATATAAGGTATCTCTTGTACAAACCATTAATTTTTACATTAGATTCTCTCAAATCTACCTGAATTACTACTGTGTTAAAACAATCTTCCTTATGCTCAAAATACAGTTTTCTCCAAATTGCGTATATGTTTCTCTGTAAAACAAGAAATTCTTTGTAGTCTCTCCCAAACCACAACGTTTGAAATTTAAAATACACCGGCACAACACTTTGTGATCTTTTCAAAAACAGCGGCAGAAGTCGTTCCGTAAACAAACTCCAGCGTGAAATCCCAATGGAAACCAAAAGAAAAACCAGGAAATTGGCAAAAAAAAAAAAAAAAAAATCGTTAACGACGTGATTCCACTTCGGGATATCTGTTTCTCCATCCCCACGCTATCACTTTTCCAGTCCGCCTGCCACAAGCGCTGCTAACCTGAAACCCTGGGGGGTTCGGTACCTCACCCCGAGCGCTGCTGCCTGATGATGCTCCCTCCCTCCCGTGAGGTTTCTTCCTTTCCGCCTCGGCCCGATATTGGCCACAGCCCCCCCAACGACCCCCCATAACCCCGCAGCAGGCATCCCGGGGAAGCGGAGGGGGGGTGTGTGTGGAGGAACTCACATCGCACGCTTCTCGATGCGCTCTGCGTTCAAAAGCTTTACGGGGAAGAGAAAAAAACAAACAAAAAAAAAACCAAACAAACAAACAAAACCCAAAAAACAAAACAAAAACAAAACAAAACAAAACAAAAAAAAAAACAAAAAAAAAGGAGGTTGGGGGGGGGGGAGCCGGTAACCAACCCTTTGGCAAACGTAGAGCGGAACCAGACCCTCTCTCTTCTCCGTACGCTGCGCACCGAATTAAGGCGGCCGTGTTTATCGCGTTATCCTTTTGTTTACTGGATGGGCAGGACAGCAGTCGGTTCTCCCGTGCTTATCTGCTCTTATCGGCTCTTTCATTTCGGGCCTTTGCCTCG